TCTACATTGAAAACTACAGTACTCTGAAAAAGGAGGTTGAAGAGGATAACAGAAGATGGAAATATATCCCTTGCACTTGGGTAAGAAGACTCAATATAGTGAAAATGACCATACTTCCAAAACTGTTACAGAGATTTAATGCAGTTCCAATCAAAAGTCCAACAACATATCTCACAGAATTGGAGAAAACAATTCTAAAATTCATTTGGAATCAGAAGAGATATATATCAACAAAGGTAATTCTGTGTAACAATGGCAAGGCAGGGAGCATCACAATCCTAGACTTGAAATTATACTACAAAGCTACTGTGATAAAAACAGCATGGTACTTTAAAAAAAAAAACCCTGAATATCAATAGAACAGATTAGAAGGTGGAACAGACTCCAGACATACTGAGCCATCATATCTTTGACAAAGAGCCAAAGATAGCCTCTTTAATTAATGGTACTGGAAAACTGACTTTGAACAAGCCAAAGAATAAATTTGGACTCATATCTTTCACTGTGCACTAAAGTCAAAGATCTAAATATTAAAACAGAAAATCTAAAATCAGCTGGAAGATAGAATAGGTACAGCCCTTGAAGACATTGGTGTAGGTGAAGACTTTATGAACAAAACACTGACTGCACAAAAACAATCCCAAAGTGTAAATAGTTCAAATCCCATCTTATTAAAAATGTTTTGCACAGCAAGAGGATCTACCAACAGAGTGGAAAAAACATACCATAGTATGGGAAAAAATTAGGGGAAGCTGTTCCTCAGACAAAGGATTACTATCAAGAACAAATACAGAACTCAGAAAAAATGAAGCCTCCCAATTTAAAGACCCAATCCAAAAATGGCCATCTGAAATGAATGCACACTTCTCTGATGAAGAAGTACAACCAGCAAATAAATATATGAAAAAATGTTCAACATCTCTGATCATTTAAATAATGATGATAATCCATCTCACCCCACAAAGAGTGACTATTATGAAATCAACCAATAACAAATGCTGGCAGGGCTGTGAGGAACAAGGAACCCTTCTTCACTGTTGGTGGGAGTGTAGAGTGCTGCAACCACTGTGGAAATCACTGTGGATATTCCTCCAAAAACTAGAACTAGAGGTCCCATTGGACCCAGCTATTTCCCTGGGTATTTTCCTGAAAGAATTAAAAACATCATACTGCATCAATACATAGACTCCCATGTGTATAGTGGCACAGTTTGTAGTAATCAGGTCTCAGAAACAGCCCAAATCCCCATCAACCAAGGAATGGATAAAGAAGATGTGTTTTTTTTTTATATACAATGGAGTACTACTCTGCCATACAGGATAAGCTTGAGACATTCCTACATAAATAGATGCACCTTGACACCGTCTTATTAAGTGAAGTAAATTGGACACACGTGTAAATATTGCATTTTTCCCTCTCATGTGAGAAATAGAAAGTGTAAATAACGAACAAAATGTATAATAGGTATTTGAAATACAAAAAAAAAAAATGCTCAAATGGGAAGGGAGCAGGAGAGGGTGGAGGCAGAAAGAAAAGAAGGAAAAAATGGAACTAAGCTTTTGTAAATGGGGAAGGGAGAAGAGGCTGAAGGAAGTATAGAGGAATAGCAAAAAAAAATGAAGTTATATCATGTACAGATACAAACTCTCTATGATAAATGTGATCATTATGTACATCTAAAATGTACCAATAAAATCTGATTGAATAAGAAAAGAATGTTGAAAATGTTTTTCTTTGAGAATATGTCAGTCATTTTGAAAGACTTCCTTGGAAACTTCTTGCCCTGGATAAGGCTCTATGAATTTGAGATTGGCTCTATGTGTAGCATAATGTTTTATATGATATGTTCCCTAGATTCTGGAGGATAGAATGTGAGGGTATCATAATTTTTTGTGCAATAAGAATGCTGTTCTCTTTTTATTGTAAGACAATCTGAGACTGTATTTATTTCCAATAGTGTGATTCAGTGTGTCATAGCTTGAGAACTTCAGAATGATGACTCAAAATGAAAAACAACATCACATACCCTGGACAGCAATCTTCATTTGGAGCAGTGTGCTAGGACTCTGCTCTGAATATGTCAACATTTTGGTCATTCTGGGTGGTGTACTGATTTGGGGCACAATAATTTTTTTTTTTTTTTTTTGTAGAATAGGTTAGTGCTCAGCAAACAATACACACTTGAGTTCAAAAGAAAAAATGGGAAAAGTCAAAGATCTAACTTCAACTGATTGTTGGTGAATGTTCATCTCTGCTCCATAATGAGACTGCAGAGAAGAGAGAAATTTCCCTGTGATGATGACTATGATGTAAACAATCCCCATATTTAACTTTACTAACTTCTCATCTTCCCCTGTCTCTTCACCTGTGATTGAACTACTCTGGACTGCAGAGGCACCCAGAATTATGTGTAATCTTAGGAATATATTTAACCTTCTGAGTGTGGGATCCCTTGTGAATGACAGTAAAACAGCCTTCTTACCTGACTAGCTTCCCTTTTGCTTCTTTTGGAGGAATTTTGTTTAAAATACAAGTTACCTCAAGGACTTAAGAATTGCTCTTCAAGATGTCACCATATGATTGTGATTTTCTTAGCTTTAAACTGAATGTAGAATTTCTAACATCTGAAGAAGCAAAGAAATATTTAGATGCAATTGTTTTGCATTTATCATAAATATGTGTAAAGATCCATGGAATCAAGATGGAGGTGAGAAAATAAACTGTGATTACCTCCACTACATTTCCCTGATTTCATGTAACTATCCCTGTGGTGGCCACAGGATGAATTTTATAAACTCTTTGGCCCTTAACAGTCTCATCACACAAAATGTTATTTGGTTTCCTCTCTTTGGAATTTTGAAGAACTTAATAATTGAGGTTAATATATTATCCTGAGGATGATTAAAAGGTTATTTGAAGTTTCTGTTGGACAACCTAATGGACATAGCATTGTAAGGAAATTCATATTTCAGCTTCTTTCCTCCCCAACTCCACTGCTTCTGGGCTTTGTGATTTGAAGATAGGTTTTATTTTTTATTATCTTTCATATGATTAAAATTGTTATTGTTAATTTTTCCTGCAAGTGATATTGAATCAGAATGCTTGATAAAATTAGAAAAAATACTGGTCTGATATGCTTGAGACATTTCTAGCTAAATGGATGCACCTTGATATCATATTCTTAACTGAAATAAATTCTTAACTGAAATAAATAAATAAATAAATCATATTCTTAACTGAAATAATAAAAAATATGTAAATATTGAATGGTTTCTCTGGTGTGGGAAACCTAAAGTGTAATAAAAACCAAAACACATCAACTTGATTTAATGTTCAATTACGTTTTTTCTATGAAACCAGACTCAAATTTCAAACAGCTACCTAAGTACAATCAAAGGAAGAATGGCTTAATTCTGTGCTTAGTTAGATTGCAAGAGTATAGTCTATGGTCTGTCAGAACCATTCGTTAAATATTTATCTGTTCCTGTGTTTTGTGGATAGTGATTTTCAGGGTCTCTGTATGAGCTCTGTTTAGATTCAATACAGACATACAATATCTGGGGCTGGGGATTTAGCTCAGTGGCACAGTGCCTGCCTGGCAAACGCAAGGTTGTGAGTTCTATTCCTGGTACCAGAGGAAAAAAAAAAAAAAAGAAATACAGTATTTGTCACTATTCCAGGCAACCAGTGCAACTATACTGTTATTGCTGTAGCAGTGAGTTGGAATCTAGTGTCAGAATTGTTATGCAAAAATATGTCCATACACATGGGTTTGGTGACCAAGACATGGAACTAATGTTTGAAGGAATCAAGCTCAACTCAGCTTTTACAAGAACAGTTAAGATATCTTAGGATGTGAGTCTCAACCTTCTTTCAGGACATATATCTGTGATTATTTAGGAGGCAGTGACCTTGGAGGATGTTGCTGTGAACTTCACCATGGAGGAGTGGGCTTTGCTGAATCCATCCCAAAAGAAGCTCTACAAAGATGTAATGTGGGAAACATGTATGAATATTACTGCTATAGGTAAGGTTGACATTGTTTTCTCATTTATGCAATCAGAGAGCATTGGTTCTTACACACTGATAGTAATTCACTCAATAGAATGTGAAAACATTTTGAAGAATATCCCATGCCTGTTTATATCATACCATGAATTTAACTACTCTCTGCTAATTGTTATCTAATGATATAGTGACTTTTGTATTTCCATTGCTACAATTCAGGAAAGACCTGGGACAATCAGCAAATTGAAGAAGAATACAAAAATTGCTCAAGAAATCTAAGGTAATTGGCATTCATAAGGAAAAGGAATATTCCCTAACAGTTGGTGTGTGAGCACAAATATTATAACCAAGGAAACTAGACAAATGATTTTATGTTCACATTTATTTAATCTCACAAAAATTCCCCTGTTGCATACAGGTTGTTTTTGTATAATCTGACATTGAATACAGAAATATTCCAATATAGGAAACTAACTTGATAGAGATGCTATGCAACAACAGACACTATCTCATACATCAGTATAAAAAACTTCATTCATGATCAATAACATGAAAATGTGTGAATTGCATTTAGCTATTATGTATAGGAATATATGAAAAGAATAAATTTTGAACACTGACAAACACATCTTCAAGTTGTCTATTTATATATATATATGAGTGAGACATACATTGTCTAAAAAATTGCTAACCTGAAAACAATATTGAAAAGACAAATTAATATTAGTGTTTTTCAAAACATCCTCCAGAGAATTGGATGCATTCATATTTTAAAATTCTTAGAAGGCAGCTATATACATTGTTGGTAGGAATATAAAATAGAACCATTTTGATAATCAATATACAGATGTCTCAAATGTAAAAATATGAGTTTGCATATGATCCAGGCAAACCTCCCTATGTAACAATTGAAAATTATCATATCTTAGTTGTATCTGCATACACATGCTCAAAGCAGGATGTGCATGGATAGTCACAATACTTAAGTTCTGGAAATAATTCATAAAACCTAAACTCTGCTAACAGCCTAGATGCCTACAGTGGAATGCATAGATAAAAAGATGTGGGATCATCTCCTCATAGTGGCGCCTTATAATCCCAGCATTCTGGTAAGCTGAGCGAGCAGGATGACAACATGAAATTTACCCTGACCAAATTAATGATCAAGGAGACCCTCAAAACAAGACATAGTGAATGTAGAAATTCACTTTAGTGCTAAGGTCCTTATTTAATTCTCAGCACTGAAAAACTGTGCTATATATTCAGCCATACAGAAAAATATCATATCTTTTCACACTCAAAAAAGATGGGACTCCATCTCATAATGTTAAGTGAAAAAAACCATACTTAGAAAATGAATTATCACATTTTTTTCTCTGAGATACCAAAATGTAAATTAAGGAGAAAAATTAAGGAACAAAATTAAGGAAAAGTGATAGAGAATAGAAAGGCTGACTTGTTGGGGATGAGAAGATGACCTGGGTAAGGAGAGAAGGGGAGACTGATGGGAAAAAAGGTGTCAAAAATGAAACTAGATCTAAAGTATTGTAAATATTCATCAATTTAAAATTCTCAAATTAATACCATCCTTTGGGGAATGTGTATTTTGGAGGCATCCTCTAGAGCATTCAGTGAATTCTTTCTAAAGCATTTGTAGGAGGCATCAAGCCAGAACTTGTCCTGGTAAATTATTTACACAGAGACTTTTTTATTATGATTGGTATTTTTGTTTTCTTTAAAGCAATGATTTTTTATTTTCTTTATAGCAATGAAGAGGTAGCCAGATGGTGTCAGTACAAACCTTGGAGTCAACATGTAAACCTGTTCCTTCGGGCTCCAGATGCTCATGTAGACATGCAGCAAGCTGTTGTAAATCAAGCTGAAAACTTTGCTTGTAGAAAGCCCCTGATTGGGCATTTATCACTAAATGTGTCTATTTTACCTCACATTGGCCTGAAGCCAGATGAGTATTTGGGATTTGATGTTAAGCCTTATCAATATAAGCAACATGGGAAAATCTTCTCTGAACATAGTGAAAAAACTCACCTTGGAGAGGAGACCATTGTAGGTGAGAAAAGTGTGAAAGCCTCCATAACTCCCAGTAGTGTTGAAATTTATGAAATTATTCACACTGGGAAGAAACCACATGTAAGTAAACAATGTGGGAAAACTTTCAAAACTCAAAGTTGTTATAAAATTCATGAAAGATTTTACATTGAGCAGAAACGCTATGTATGTAACCAGTGTGGAAAAGAGTTTGTTGGTAAGTCTGCATTTTGTAGACATAATAGAACCCACACTGGTGAGAAACCATATGTATGTAAGCAATGTGGGAAAGCGTTCACTTCAAACCAAAGTTGTCAAACTCATGAAAGAACTCACACTGGGGAGAAACCTTATATATGCAAGGAATGTGGGAAAGCATTCACTACACACCAATACTGTCAAAGACATGAAAGAACTCACACTGGGGAGAAACCTTATGTGTGCAAGGAATGTGGAAAGACATTCGCTTCACACCAATACTGTCAAATACATGAAAGAAATCACAGTGGGGAGAAACCTTACGTATGCAAGCAATGTGGGAAGGCGTTCACTATGCAAATTCATTATAAAATACATGAAAGAATTCACACTGGGGAGAAACCTTATGTGTGCAAGCAATGTGGTAAAGCATTCACTACACACAAATATTGTCAAAGACATGAAAGGACTCACAGTGGGGAGAAACCTTATGTGTGCAAGCAGTGTGGAAAAGCATTCACTTCAAAGAATACTTACAATGTACATGAAAGAATTCACACTGGGGAGAAACCTTATGTCTGTAGACAATGTGGGAAAGGATTCACTACATACAGTGGGCATCAAAGCCATGAAAGAACTCATACTGGGGAGAAACCTCATGTCTGTAAACAATGTGGGAAAGGATTCACTACACTCAAATATTGTCAAATACATGAAAGAACTCACACTGGGGAGAAACCTTATGTGTGCAAGGAATGTGGAAAAGCATTCATGAGAAAGAGTTCTTATAAAATACATGAAAGAACTCACACTTGGGAAAACCCTTATGTGTGCAAAGAATGTGGAAAAGCATTCACTACAAAGAGTTCGTATAACATACACCAAAGAACTCACACTGGGCAGAAACTTTTTGCATGCACATATTGTGAGAAGGCATTCATTACATACAGAGACTATCAAAGACATGAAAGAACTCACACAGGGGAGAAACCTTATGTGTGCAAGCAATGTGGGAAGGCATTCAGTACTCATGAATATTGTCAAATACATGAAAGAACTCACACTGGGGAGAAACCTTATGTGTGCAAGCAGTGTGGAAAAGCACTTAGTACAAAGAGTTCTTACAATATACATGAAAGAATTCACACTGGGGAAAAACCTTATGTATGCAAGGAATGTGGAAAAGCATTCACTAGAAAGAGTTCTTATAACATACATGAAAGAATTCACACTGGGGAGAAGCCTTATGTGTGCAAAGAATGTGGAAAAGCATTCACTACAAAGAGGTCTCATAATGTACATGAAAAAGGTCATTCAGGGGAGAAATCTTATGTGTGCAAGCAATGTGGAAAAACATTTACTATGAAGAGTTATAATATACATGAAAAAAGTAACACAGGGGAGGAACCTTACATTTGCAATCAATGTAAAGAATGTGTAGGCATTCTGTACACAACATGGTTGTCAAAGACATGAAAAAACTCACTGGGGTGAAAACTTATGTGTATAAATAATGTTGGAAGGCATTCACCACACACAAATATTGCAAATACATGAAAGAGCTCACGCAGGTTAGAATCCCTATGCATGTGAGTCATGTGGAAAAAGATTTGTTAGTAAGTCCTCATTTTATATACATAGATCTCACACTTAGGAGGATCCCTTTATATATAAGCAATGTGAGGAAAGCATTCAATGAACACAGAATCAACTACATGAAAGAGGTTACACTGGGGAGAAACTCTATATATGTAGGCCTGTTTTGGAAATCTTGTGAAAATTATTCATATAGTGGAGACCTGTACAAATTAAATGAAAAAGTCAGTGTCATCATTTCTTCATAAATTTTCCAGAAAATACACCACCAGATGGAGATATCCTAGAATATATTCCTTTTGTGTTTTTCAGTAAGTCACTTGTAAATATCTAAACTATGTATCTATAGTCTTTACTATAAAAAATATTGACATAATATATTTTTGTGTAAGCCATTTCTTTGAACTTAATATGCAGTATCTTCTAATTAAATAAGGGGTATTGAAATGTATTTCCCACTTCCAAGTAGGGTATTTATATGGTTTTTATTTTGTTTTTACTATTCAGAAGTATAGGCCATTAAAAAATAAATTTTGTTTTTTTATTGATGGGATTTCCTACTAGCTTTGAAAAATTTTTGTAGTGTATGTACTTCACATTCTTTGCAAAAAATTTTTTGAGTGTTTAAGTTATATATATTTATGTACACCTATTTAGAGATATGTGAACATGATTTTTTGAAAAACTGAATTGTTTTAACACAACTTGTAGATTAGCAAATGTTTGGTTTTATAATGTTAATAGGATAATAGGATATCTGGATATTTCCCAACATAATTAAATTATATCAAGTATATAGTTTTGTCTATTTTGTTTTCAAGCCATTGTCAGTATTATGATTTACATAAAATTTTTCTTTCCATCATCATTTGACTTTTCATGCTTATATTGTTATGACTGCAATGGTGGTAATTTTACCACCACTTATGCCAAAAACTAAACCATACTGCTGTTTTTGATTGTGTGAAATCAGATGGACCATGACTTGTCTGTAAAAGTATATCCTGAATTGCAGTAATGTATCCATCAGTGTTTACTAGAGAAACAAGCTTAATGTGAGACATGTGTAAGAATGTATACTATTGACTTACAAGGGCTTCCCACACAGTCAAGTGTGGAAGAGGGCAAAGGGTCTGTCTTTGCACTGGATAGCCAAAAACTCCAGTTGAAGGCCTGGAGCCCACTATAGTCGCCCATGCAAGTCTGTATCAGATCAAAGGTCTATGCCAGAAGACTGAGTGGTTTGAGCTAGGGGCTGAAGAGTCTGCCCTGGAAGGCTAAAGAGTCTGTGCTGGAAGTCAGGAGATTACTTCCAAGGTTATGGTGAATACTGGAGCTCTTGCAAAGAAACAGAAGCAAGCCTTCCTCTCTCATTTCTTTTTTATAACATTCTGGCCACCACCCTCCCTAGAGTGGGTCCTCCACACACATAATTTTGCTGGACAAGTTTAGTTGGGCATGTAGTACTCTAGTTGACACAATCAGTTATCTATCACAATCCACCTCTTGACAATTTCACAACCATACACGATTCTTTAAACCATAGACTCCAGCTGCAAAAACAAGCTCAAATATGCCTAACATGTTATAACTGTCCTAAATACAAATGGAAACACATTAAGTCCCTCTCCAGAAAACAAGGGAAGTTTTCTTTGGGTGATGCTTCTAACATTTGATAACTTGAACAATATAGCATAAGATTAACAAGGCTTAACCAATATTAAGGCTATAAACATATAACATTGGAAGCATATTAGGAAAGAACTATTACAATTACAATCTTTGTTTCTGTAGCTGATCATAGGATCATTGCTGTAATTTAGATCTACTTTGTACTACCCATTCAGTATTTGCTTGACCTTCAGCAAGAACCTCAGCTCATCTTGGTTCTTCCTTGGTATTGGACCCATACCTCCATTCTTAAAAGTGCTGATCATTTAACATTCTGCCTGTATTGGATTGTTATAGGTTTTCCTTTGACTAGTAACAAAGCATACTTATAGTAGGAGGTTCACCAAGGGGTCTGCTGCACTCAAAGTATATTTTTCCTCTCCTCAATTGTGGAGTAATAATCTGATTTTACATTGACAGTCTGGATTAATCACCCCTATCAACACTGCAACTTCCTTTTCAACTTGATTCCTCAGAGTCACAAGGAGACCAAAATGACCAGGAAGAAGTTTTTGTTTCAAGTTTAGTGGTGTCCTTGTTGTGCTTCCTGGTACAAGTCTCCCCACCACACACAGGAACCAAGACTTCTAAGTGAGCAGAGCATAACGCCATGAGACTTGGGTGCAAAATTTTGCTAGTAAATCACTTTGGTAAAGTTGAGTGGTACCACTCTTATTTCCACCCCTTCTTACCTGAATCTATGAATCCTGGCTGTGGGAAACATAGTACCAAATAGTAGACGCTGATTCAAAACATGTGCAGCCTTCTGAAGAATCTTGACCTAGACATGAAAGCTTTTGCCACCTAACTGGTGCTGCAGTTGTGTCTTCAAAAGGCCATTCCACCTTTCCATCAATCCAGCTCCTTCTAGGTTTTGATGAACATTGCAAGACCAGTGAATCCCATGAGCAGAAGCCCACCTCCTCACTTCTTTGGCCATCTCATGAGTTCTTTGGTGTGAGATCCAATGCTGTTTGGAATTCTATGATAATTAATAAAGCATTTTAATCCATGGGTAGGAGTGTTGGAAGAAGCAATACAGGCAAGAAAGGGAAATTCATATCCAGAATGAGTATGCCAGTAAACCCAAAGAACACTCCCTTCCATGATGGAAGGGGTTTAATCTGATTAACCTGCCACTAGATCAAAGGCTGATCTTACCAAAGGATGGGGGCAAACTGGAGAAAGAGTGGTGGTCACTGCTGGTGACCTAGTTAGCAGTTAGCAATGGTTGTAGCCACATCTGGCTTGGTGAGTGGGAGTCCATGTTGCTGAGCATGCAAACCCTCCAACCCTTTCAATATGACTACTCTGTTCATGGGACAACTGGGCAATTACAAGAGTAGCTAAAGGGAGTTGAGAGCTATCTATAAGTCAGGTCATCTTATCCTCTTTATTGTTAATTTCCTCTTCTCCAGAGGTCTGTTTTTGGTGAGTTTCTTCATGGGATAAAACTATTTTTAAATCCTTTGCCCATATAGATAGGTCTATCCACATACCACATCCCCAGAGATCTTTGTCATCAATTATCCAGTTATGTTCCTGCACGCTCCTGACATCCGAAGAGACAATTGGCTACAGTCCATGAATCAGTATACAGTTGCATATCTGGTCATTATTCCTACCAGGCAAAATGTATTCCCAGGTGCCTTGCCCAAAGTTCTGTCTACTGGGAAGATTTTCCTTCACCACTGTCAATAAGGGACGTCTTGGTAAGGAGTTGTAATACTGCAGCTGTCCTCTTTCAGGGGATGCTTGCATAACATGCAGAGCCATCAGGAAACAGTTACTGGCCTTTTTCTCTCTAATAGTTGTTCATATGGTATGACTCATGAGGCCTTAGGTACATGTTGGGAAATATAATATGATTATGCAGGAGTAAGAACCATCTACATGTGTGAAACTTCTTCATGTAACTTACTTGTACCCTCTGGACCTGCTCTGTCTCAATCGTGTGCATATTATTTCAATTTAATGCCTCACTGTGGCTATGCAGATCACGTGATTACTTGGTGGACCTGATAACACTCAGCTCATGATAGGCACCTTAGGTTACATGATAACCTGGTGTCCCATGGTCAAGTATTCAGTTTCTACTATTGCCTAGTAGCAGGCCAAGAGCTGTTTTCCAAAAACAGAGTAATTGCAGATAGTGGTAGAGTCTTCCTCCAAAATCCTAAAGGTCCCTATAGGAATTTACATATGAAGGCCAGCCAGAGAATACAGTTAGCATCCCTACCTGCTAGTGACACTTGAAATACCATTGGATCTGCTGGATCATATGACCCCAGTAGTAGAGCAGCCTGGACCTGTTACAGAGCCTTTTCTTATTCAGGGCCTGACTTAAAATTAGCAGCATTTTGACTTACTCAGTAAATGTGCCATAGTAAAACACATTAGTGAAGAATGTATTACCTCCAATTTCCAAACAGGCCAACTGGGCATTGTACCTCTTTTCTGGTCCTAAGGGGAGCCAGATCAACAATGTATCTTTTACGTCAAAAGGGTATCTCTACATACCCCACACCACTGGACTCCAGAAATTTCACTGAGGTAGAAGGACCTGCCATTTTAGTATGATCTGTTTCTCATCCTTTGTCTATGAAATCCTTTCCTGCTAAATCCAAAGTGGTTGCTACCTCCTGCTCACTTGGTCCAGTTGTCATAATATTATCAATGTAATGAACCATGTGATGCCTTCTGGAGGAGAATGGCTATCAAGATCCCTGAAAAGTAAGTTGTGACACACTGCCGGAACATTAACAACCCTAAAGTAAGATAGTAAAAGTGTATTGCTGGCTTTGCCCACTGAACACAAATTGTTTGTGATGGGCCTTATAGATAAGTGTTGAGAAGGAAGGCATTTTCCAAAGCCTTGTACCAAGTACCAGGAGATGTGTTAATCTCCTCAAGCAAAGACACCACATCCAGTACAGCAGCTTCAACTGGAGTCACAACTTGATTCAGTTTATGGTATGTACCATCATTCTCCTAGATCCATTCATCTGTGTACAGGCCAAATTGGAAAATTAAATGGAGATGTAGTGGGGACTACCACCTCTGCACCGTTCAACTTATTGATAGTGGCAATAATCTCTGCAATCTCTCTAGGAAAGCGAGGTTTTTAAAATTTACTATTTTGTTCAACAAAGCCAACTCCAATGACTTCTGTTTGGTCTTTCCAAGAATATTAGCCCTCATGCTATGCTTTAAGGAACCAATGTTAGGGTTCTGCCACATACTAACTATATCTAACCCAACTGGCATTCTGTACCTGGGAAAGTAACTACAGAATGAAATTGAGAATCTAATGTAGCAACAGAGAGTTGAACCTTTGCTCAAACTTTTTCCATTCATGTAAACTCCATGGCCCCTACTCTTACTGGAGGCCCACAGTGATAACTTGCATCTTTGGGAATCAGAGTTAGCTCAGAACCAGTGTCCTATAGTGTGCAAAATGTCTGATTATTTTCCCTACCTCAGTGTACAGGTATTCTGGTAAAAGGCCTTTGGTCTTTTTTGGAGAAGGATGGCAGAAAGATTAACCATATAAATTTTAGATGGTACACCGGGGTCATTGCTCAACAGAACTTGGTCTTCCCTTTATTTAAGGAGTTCTGTGTCTGTAATCTAACTGAAACCCAGGAACTGCTTGAAGGGGCCAATTCCCTGTCACTACAATTTCAAGCAAATTTTTATTTCACTTGCTCCTATATTTTTCTGATTTTGTAAGCCCAATAGAAAATTTTGTAGGCTTCCCCTCTATTTCACTTTTGGGAACACCATGAGTAATAGGCAAACATCAAACCTACAATTGTCAGAACATTCTGATCCTTGTTCTGCTTCTGTTGTCTATTTTGGTAGATGTGTGAACTTTGCTTTTGCTGATTACCTGACTGCTTGACTGCTGCTACTCTAAGATTCATTCAAATCCATTGCCATTAAATTTTCCATTTAAACATCTGCAATCCCCACAAAAAGTTCTGGCATAAAAAGAGCATTGACAGGGCTCTTCAGGGAAGCTGGCACTCCTCTCATGAATCCCCCTCTCTGTTTCAGTGAAGGATATATTTTCTGAACATTCCAACATGGCAGATTACAGTTGACACTGATGCAGAGTTCAGGACCAGGCCAAACAGAAGACAACAACATCAGAGGAACTTTGGGAAGCAGCTTATTATACTAGTGGGCTGGGGAACACAGAGGTTCAACTCAGTATCCCCATTCTGAGATTACCAATTGCTTATACAGGTTTTTAGGAGGTAGTACATAAGGCAGATAACACAACCTTCTACAGTTGGTTATACATGTCTTTGTAATTAATTGCTAGGCAGAATTTACTCTTACAGGAACTAATAATGTCACTATCGTATAACATGGGGGAAAAATTCAATCATTGTCCGAAACTGGGCAGATGTGTCCTTGAGGTGGTAACTCTCTGGAACTTGAAAGTAAGCAAAACATCACTGTCTGGCTAAGCTGCACTTATCTCGCAGCTGGCTGTGAGGGTGCCATGGCTCATGAAGCTTTGTAGCTCTCTGATCATGAGAACCAAATGTGTTTCCCAGTCTCATCCTTGAACAGTGTTAGAAATATGCAAGTGTTAGAAGTATAGGATTAAAATGTTCATTACATTTAAAATAATCTCTACAACATGACTTTCCAGATCCTTTCCAGCATTCCCTTTTCCCGATGCCTCTGAATCCCCTCATCATCAGTAAAGCATAAAATGCCAGACATCTCTAACTCATCCACACTGTGCCATATTTGGGTCCATACTTCTGCCAACCAGTGAAAGAAACTATTAAAATCTTTCTTTACTCCATGAGCTGCAACATTGAATTTAGAATTACTGGTCTGCAGTACCATATCAGCAAATCCAGCCCGATCCAGGGGCGTGATTTTGCCACCATTATCCAACACACATAAAATCCATTCCCACATTGCTCATTAAGCCTCTACTTATCAGAGTTACAAAACTCAAGATCTTCTCTGGGAGAATAGTGAATTTCCCCATCACACTGTGTACCTCACCTGTAGGAGTCTCTTGTGATTTGAGCCTGGTGATAGAGGCAAATGTAGTGGTGACAGCGGTTCCTGAATAGTGTCAGAATCATCATCCTTGGTCAACACAGGATTAGTTTCCTCAGGTATACTAGCAGAAGCTAGCTTCACAGAAGTGCAATTGGGTAATCCACCACCACTGTGGGTGGGGAAATCTCTTCCTCTTGCAAAACAATCTTATGACACTCCAGATGTTCAACACCCTCAGCTGTATTCGAATCCTCCTAAATGTCTCTATCCCAGTTTACAGGATCCCAGTTTTTTCTGATCAGTGCCCTCACTTTACTTCAGATACACTTTGAGGCTGAGCATTAATCTTACACTGCATTTCAGCTTGTAAAGTTATGAAGACCTGTTTAGGTTCTTTTTTTTCTTTTTTTCTTTTTTTTTCAATCTTGGTCAAGTGCTTAAGAGAGAAGATTCTCTTTCAGGACACACTTAGAAAATTTTAAGGGTTTTCTTTTTTCTTTTGTACCAGGAATTGAACTCAGGACCTTGCGCTTGCCAGGTAGGTGCTGTGCCTCTAAGCTATCTTCCCAGCAAAAATTTTTAAGTTTTTATGTGTGTCTTGAGCTGGGAATTTGAAACTTTGTGCTCCTTATTTTCCTTTGTTAGTTTGTCCACAGAGTTAGAAGAATTTGATTGGCGGTAGGTGAGTTAAGCTCACTGTCTTCCTTCTTTATTTATGCAGAGATGCTAAGAGTAACCAGGCATTGTCACTGTATTTCTCACTCTGCTAAAAACATTTACAGTTTCATATATGAAGTTGCTAAATTCTTTACATTTCATAAGTGGTAAATTAGGGCAATCAAATGGATCTACATCATGTATTACTTTAAGAGTTCACAACAAGGACTACCTGAATTCACCACAGTAATAGAAGGACAGACCATCATAGTATCTTTCAATCTCATTAAATTAGAGAGAAAACTCCAGAAACTCCTAAAGTTATTAAATGATTCCATCTTTTCAATTCTGTTTTTCTATAATCACTCCCAGTGCCAAAATCTGTACCAGTCAGTGCTTAGGAGGGACACAGATTTAATGTAAGTTACACAAATATATTTAAAAGCTTGGAGCACAGTGGCCACTCACAAAATCAGATGTGGAAGAGTGCAAAAGGTTTGTCCATGAACTGGAGATCTGACACATCCAGTTGAATGCCTGGAGCCCACTGTAGTGTTTTGTGTTCTGACAAGTCCATGTCAGGAGGCTGAAGAGTCTATGCCAGAACGCTGAACTATCTGTGCAGGAGGCTGGGGAGTCTGTGCTGAGAGCCAGGAGACAGCATCCAAGGTGAAGGTGAATACAGACAGCCCTCCAAAGGAAAAGAAGCAAGCTTTCCTTCCTTCTTCATTTCTCTTTTATACCACTGTAGCAACAATATTCTTTATAATTGATCTTCTACATGCAAAGCTATGTGTTTTCAATTTACTTGGGCATTTCTTTCTCAAGTTTCCATAGTTAACTATTTTAAGTAATAAATCTCTCCCAAAAAAGTGCAAATGATGGTATGATTTATCAGCAAAAACTTTGTCAAAGGAATTTTTGTCCACAATGGCATTGTTTGGGGAGAATGATTGTTACTGGGTATCGTGAGGCTAATGCCTTTATTCTATTCCCTGATACTGGCTATGCATTGCCTTTGGTAATTATTATTGTTTTTACCAAGAAGGTGCAATAATGGCATGAAAGAAAATGAAAAGTCAATTTAGTTAAAAGAGGAAATAAAACTAATATAAGCTTCAGATTGTGTTCTGTTTTACCAATTTTAGAGAAATTTACACAGTGTCTTATTTCATGATCCTTAAGGAGCACTGTCTGATGTTTGAGGAATGTGACCTACATTTTGAACACATAGCCTTATGTAAGCTGTGAGCATGAGGCCAACTTGTTGTTCTTGACTTGTATTTTGCCTTTCTTTTAAACAGTGAAATATTTTGTAAAATAGTTTATACAGTGTTCTTCAATACAAAGGCTTCTCAATTCCTGAGGTATTTACATTGCTATAAAGTGTGGTAATATGAAAATATAAGTGAACAATGAGCATTTTCAAATAGCATGCAGTATAGAAACTGTCCCTCTAGAGAGGAAATGAAAGGATCACTGATGAGTTGGAAAAGTTGTCAGCTGAGACTCAGTGGGATAAAGAAGATGTATGGGTGAAGTTTTTTTAAACACCATGTTGCTTTGCTGGGCCTGCATCAGGACCCTGCTGTGCTCAGTCAAGAGTTATGAGGAGCCCCAGGGTGTGTGTGTCTTGCACAGTAGCATGAGAGTTTTCAGAAAGCACCAAGTCCTTGATCAGTTTCACTCACTAGAGACTGTAATTTCACAGGAGCCTCACACGGCCCAGCTCAGAACTAGGCCTTGTGAATGTGTGTGTGCTTCCCTATGATGTTTTGTTAAGCTCTAGAAGGGAAGAGATTGATGGCTCCAAATGAATGGAAATGATAAGGACATTCATAGTCAATTAGCCATTTTGATCAGTGCATACAGTGTGCGTGTGATGAAATCACAGTTAATTCTGCTAATAGGTATAATTGATACAGTTTGAAATAAATGATTGCATAATTACCGCTGCATTCCCTAATTTGTACCTTTGGAAACCAGAGGGCAGATTGTGGAGTCCACATTGTTGGGGTCTCACAGTGGATAGGGACGGAGCTGGCCTCTGATCTCCACCACTGCTTACCTCTGCGATCTCATGCATAGTCCCAGACCTCAGAATGGAAGCTGTCAGGTGTATAGTTCAAGAGGACTTAGTTTCTAAGGCAGGAATAATGTCTCCATCACTAGGGAGGCCTCTTCTGCAAACCACTGACAGTGCATTAATGGCCAGGGGTTATGAATGTTGTTGCTCTAATGAGATAGAAAATATGTCACTTAAACTACCATCTACCAATACTGAACAAAAACTGGACATTTCAGAAATATGTAACTGAGTCCTTGAAGATTGGTCTCTGGTCACATGAATCAGTGAGCACAGTGATTTTACTAGCTTTCCTTTTCTAGTTCTGAGGAGGTTCATGCTCATTAATGTCCTATAAGCAAGGTGGGAGTCTACAAGCCTAGGGTGTTCATGCAAAACCTCATATTTCTATGGGAAAATCAAGGATTTCATGCTGAGTTGTATTTCAGTAATGCTGGAAATTGACATCATGTGAGCAAAACTGTCTACATCATGCTAAAAGTAAAGGGTATGCTTCTAATTGTGAACACATTTCCTTTCAAAGAGACTCTTCAAATGCACACTCCTAGTGCACTTCACATGGAGAAATGTAAAGCCACCACGAGTCACTCAAGAACTTTTAACTTATGACAAATCTTGTGTCAGAGTCAGTTTACTGTGAACTAAATGGTATTACAACATTTTATTGCTGCCACAGTATTTTGCGATATCTATATTTCTAAAATGATCTTAGGAAAATGGAAAGGGATTTGAGTTGGAATCCTTCATGTGAGATCATATGTACATATCTATGTTTACCTGTAGCATCTATCATGTTGCGTGAATGCATCTCTATGTACTTATGCCCACTACTAAACAAATGCCTACTACTATATATGAACTGTCCTGCTAATCCCTGAGAGCTGAGGAGGGGTTACTATAACCCCCAATTTTTTCTTCATGTGTGAATCTATCTAGCTTCGTGAAAGATTTCCTGCCTTATGCCTTTTCCCAGAAGAAGAGGACCCGGGTACTGGCACAGTGGACCCCAGTAAGAGCTCTGAGCTCTTTGAGGGCACAACCAGTGCCATCCACCTAGAGGAACAACAGGGACCACCTCCCTCTCACTCATGCTTTCCTATACAATGTACATATTTCATGCAAATACCTAATTAGACAACCAAATTAAAACACAGCAAGACTTTGATTAAATTTAGCTTCCCTATCAATCTTGAAGGTAGCTTCTGGAATTATTGGGCCTAATCTGCAAGAACATGAAACAATCCTGGTTCCTCCTCTTCCTGGTGGTGGTTCCCAGAGGTGCAAATTTCAGAGTTTCAGACGGGAAGACATGGAAAAGCTATATCTGACCTAGGACTCACTGGTTTTCTGATACAAGTGTCCTGTCCCCGCTTCAGCTGCAGGAGTCAGGGCCTGGCCTGCTGAACCCCTCACAGACCCTACCCCTCACCTGCTTCCCTCTAGTTAGTCCATCACCAGTGGTTACTACTGGAGCTGGATCCACCAGACTCAAGGGAAGAGGCTACAGTGGATGGGGTGGATTAGTAATGTTGTATACACAGCTTATAATCCATCCTTGAAGAGCCGAATCGGCATCTCTAGAGACACGTTCAAGAACCGGTTCTCTCTGCAGCTTAATTCTGTGACAACTGAGGATACAGCTGTGTATTACTATGCAAGAGACACAGTGAAAAAACATCAGTGGGAGGCGAGACACAAACCTCCATGCAGGGACTCCCAGGACCAGCAGGGGGCGATGGAATTCCACTGAGCACCAGGAAGTGTCCCAGAAACAGGTGCAGAGAAGGAAGCTGGGGAGTGAGGAATTTCTGTCAGCCTCTGAGCTGCTTCTCTGTGTGAACATCATATGGCCTGCACTGACACTGTTGTATATCTACTACAGTTGATTTATGAAGGACCACTTACAAAGAAAATACATGGCATTGTCTTTGTTAAATTTTCATTCATATATGTATGTGTTTAGTTGTTAACTTATTTCTGTCCATGCTTTGTCATTTGAATGTTTTTGAAAACCAAACCAATCTTGCACCACTCAAAGCAGATGGTGAATTTTCCTCAGTCAGGTTATCGTGGGAAAAATTGAATCAACAGTAGCCACGAGGTCAGGAAAAGAAAGGAAATTCTATTGATGCTAGCGGACCCTGGAGAACTTATCTCCAAAATCTGAGGTGAGGTCTACAGAGAATTTGTCTTTTGATAGGTTGATGAGCAGAAGTTACAAGTATGAGATAAGCTTCTACTTGAAGGTCACCTTGAAGTAGAATGTGTATCTTGTGGTGAGCACAGCTGTAGGAAGCAAAGTTGTTTTTAGCACATTCACAGAAGTTTCAATTTGATGACAAATCATATAATTTAGCTGAGTTCAGTGGCAGAGAACAGAATGACTGCAGCTTTATTGAACAAAATGGCTGCAGTTAAGTCAGGATTTCTGCTTCAAGGTGACTTTGGAATTTCAAGTCATCATCAACTAAAATTTAATTTAGCCAGATGTTGTGGTTCACTCTCATAATGCCAGCACTCAGGAGGTGGAGGCAGGAGAACTGCTGCGAGTTCAAGGTCATTTTGGTTTACACAGTAACCTCAAGACCAACCTAGAAAAAATAGTGAGACCCTGTCACTAAACTGTGGTAAACACATAATTGGTAAACACATAAAGGCTAAAAATTACTGAGCTATTGGGTGGAGGGAAAAATGTCAGTTTGACCCAAGAAAGAGAAACTGTGCTTGATTGTTAGTTTAGTTTGAAAACAACATATGCGTCTAAGAACATTTTGAACTTTGCAACACCTGCTTGCAGGAACCGATAGGTTCTGCTTTTCTGCCCTTGCAAAAAAGAAATTGCTCACCCGTGCCAACCAGGATGTGGTTTTCAAGCTTAAAAGCTCAAACTTTCTTCGGTTCAGAGCTGTTCAGCATCTCCCTGCATGGAGAACAGACTGACAGCCGCCGGCCCGGCTAATAAAGACTCTTAAAATTCCAATTTGGATTCTGGTCTTGGTTCTTTACTCAGGGTAACCCATTACATAAACATTATATAATCTTAACAATGATCATCCATCACTGCTTGTCTGGGTGCCACTGCAAGCTGGTGTCTGGGCTCACACTGAGATCTTCTCTCTTCATCTCTTGCATAGTAATACAGGGAAGTGTCCATTGTTGTCACAGAGGTAAGTTGTAGAGCATAACAGTGGTAATTATTATTTCATTATTATTATAACAATAATAATGTACATACATGAAAATCAATTTGCTAATTTTATCACCATGAAGGTGGGTTGTCTAATGAAGGAATAAATGTCTCAGCTTAGTGAATTAAATCCTCTGCATCCCTCTCCACGTGGTCTGCTGCTCTGACCAGGAGCTGCATGAGGAAGTCAATTTTACCTTTTTCTCACAATGAAGAAGAGCAATGGCACAGACACTGAGGAGAACATTACAGCACATCCGCTTCCATTTTCCTTTTTATCTTTTTTTAAATTTAAGTGTTTGGTACATTTTAGACATACTTGATGACCACGTTCATTACTAGGAATTTGTATCTATCCATGAGAGATCTTGATTCTTCTTTCTTTTTCCCCAGTTTGCATTTCCTTCTTTCAAACCCCCTTCCAATTCACATTCACAATGCTCGGTTTTCATTCTGTCATTCTTTCCTCATTTTTTCCTTTCACTTTCTTCCTTCCCCCTCCCTATTTCTCTCTTCCTTTTGAACAGCTTCTTCCTATTTCACAATATCTATGGTATATTTATGTTCTCATTTACACTCTCAGCTTCTCACACCAGAGAGATAATGCGATATTTACTCATGTGTGTCCGAAGTGCTTCACTTATGATTATCGTGTCAAGGTCCATCCACTAGAGCTCCCATATTCTGCAGAATATGGAACATTTTCTGATGCTTTCACACCTTTACATGTTTCTAAAGCAGAAAAATTTGATGCAAAAATGCACATTCTGTACATGTGTTTACAGGAAATGTCTACATGAAAGATAAAATAGACCAAGTAGTACATAAATAGCAACACATTATCACAATGGGTTATGATACTCTGTTGAATGCAATCACTGTTACCCGCATTGCCAGAATTTGTTATATAGCTGGAGGACATGCAAATAGTGCTTTCCTCTGCTGAGGAAAATCATCCCAGCCCTGCACCTGAGGCTCTGGAGAGGAGCCCAGTCCTGGATGCCCAGGTGTTCCCATTCGGTGATCAGGACTGAACACAGACAACTCACCATGGAGTTTGGGATGAGCTGGGTTTTCCTGGTGGTTGTTCTAAAAGGTAATTAATGAAGAACAAATGATATTGAGTGTGTGCGTCAGCATGAGTAAAATTGACTATGGACGTATGTGACAGTTTCCTCATGAGGATGTTCCTGTGATTGTAGGTGGTCAGGCTGAGGTGCAACTGGTGGAATCACCTTTTGGCTTGGTGCAGCCTATTGGAGCCTCTGAACCTCCTCTCACAGACTTGGAATTCACCTTCTGTAGCTATAACACGGACTGAATTTACCAGGCTTTCGGGAAGGGGTTGGAGTGGCTCTCCTACATAGTAAGACTGATGGTAGCACAAACTAGGCAGATTTTGTGAAAACTTGAGTCACTATCACCAGAGACAACGCCAAACACATGCTGTAACTGCAAACGAACAGCCTCAGAATGGACGAGGCAATGTATTCCTTTGCAAGGGACAGAGCATTCCAGTGTGAGCAGCGCATAATCTAGCTGCATGGTAACTCAGGACCAGCAGAGGGTGCTGAGGGTCCTGTGTGCACATGGCAGGACCTCAGCACAGGCGCAGAGATGGAAGCCGAGGTCTTCTTGTCAGCCTCTGGCTTTCCTTTCTGTCTGAGCAGCCTATGACTTGAAGAGATCCCGCCATACGTAAGCAGCAGATTCCTCATGAAACATACAAGCTCTAAGTGGAGATATTTGTTTATTGCAGTAATGATATATTTAATTATTGACTTTCGTCTATGCATACATTTTCACTAGAAAGGTAGACATACTTGCGTATGTTTCAAAGTAACCAATAAATTTGGAGATTTTTTTGGTGCTGAGAACCGAAAACAGAAAGGGGCTGGTAGGTGCTGTGCCACTGAGCTCTACACCGGGCCCAACTTTGGAGATTTTAACAGCACAGGTACCCTTCAACTGTGTAATTCAGAAATTAGTGCTCTATCATATAAAATGGTAATATTCTCTAGAATTTTTCTCACTGCTTCTTGTTTCTGTCTCTCTGTATCTCTCCCTCTCTGTCTTTGTCTCTCTCGGTCTCTCTGTGCCTCTCTCTCTTCTCTGTTTCTCTCTCCCTCTCCCTCTCAGGTTTCCTTGTATGTACAGCAGAGAGAGAGATAATGTTTATTTAAGATAATATTCTAAAATTTCTTGTTATTTGCATTTGCTATTTCTTAACAGACTTTGAACCATCTGTCCTTTGTGATTGTCTTATTTTATTGCCTTTAACTCTTTATTCATCTTTCACTTTTCTGGGACCCTCATAGTGACAGTCTGCAGGAATATATGGTTCATTCATTGCCAAGCCTGCTGGTTTTGCTGAGGCATCAAAAGAAGTTGTCTGGGCCAGAGAAATTGATTTTCCGAAGAAGGATGATGAGTCTCTAGCTTGCCAAATGCGGGCTGTGGGAAATCCAGCTTGCACTGTAAAGGCTTTGCCACTGTCCACCTCCTCTTTTTGAATCGCACCCTGAAGGAATTGTAGTACCATGAAGGAAGGCCTTGAGAACACTGGGCTTGAGGCAGGAGCGCTTAGAGCCTAAGCAGCAGTAGGGATGCATGAAGGTGTTTTCCTTCTGTCAGTTTCACGTACGAGCACAGGGACAATAATCTAGGGATAATGGATACAGGGAGAATGCCAGCAAGGCAGGTTAAATCACTCTGCAGAGGCAACGTCCTTCTCAAGGAGCTACTGATGGGGCACTGAGGAGCTAAGCTGCACTATGATACAGGGAAGAGCTGCAGGGAAGGAATGGGGAGAGGATTCCTGCTGGAGTTGTAGAATCCCTAAGTGTGCATGCGCACGCACGCGCGCACACACACACACACACACACACACAGCTTGTCTTCAGGCTCTTCCTCCTTGGGTGGAGCCCCATCATCTCTCACTCTACTTCTTGACCAATCTGAGGCTAGCTCTGCTCTCTGTCTCACATTCCCTCCAAGGTCTGAAGTTCAGAAAGTATGGCCCAAAATATATGTCACCTAAAAATTCCAATTCCAATACCTGAATTTTTCAGATATTTTGTCACAGTGATGGAAAGCCCAGTAACATCACACATGGAGAATGACAGAAATACTGTTCTCATCTCTTCTTGTAAGGATAACAACACTCAGGAGCCAGGAATGGTTTTGCACACCTGTAATCCCAGCACTCAGGAGGCTGAAACAGGAGGATCATGGAGAGTTCAAAGCCAGCCTAGTCTACAAAGTGAGCTCCAGGCCAGACAAATGGCATAGTGTGATCCTGCTAAAAAGACAAAAAAAGAAAGAAAGAAAAACTCAGGAATCCAATCCATGGTAATAACAGAATTCATTTATTATGAAAACCAATTATGTACCTGTGCACCATGGAACGTGTCAAAGAGACATTGTGCCAGTTAATCTTCAGGGATTTCATATGGAACTTGCCATTGCCAGGGTTCAATATTTGTAAATTAGAAGCTCAGATATGTCAGAAGCTTGATCCTTGGAAAGAGAATATTATGAACTTAATATCAGGTACACCCATCACATTAAATCTGATTAAAAATATGATTAGAAGTTAAAAAGTATAGCAGCACATCTCTAAGGAAATCTCTAATTCAAGAGTGAAGGTTATTAAGTAGTTTGCAAAATATATGACATTATTAATAGCCAATTTGTAATGGTTACAAAGAAAATGTGTTAAAACTTTTAAATTTGTACAAACTGAGCTCAGGAACTTACAATGACAGGAATGTAGTTGTGGACAATATCAGGAACTTCGGAGAGATTTTTTGTTGTTTCATTGGAAAAAAAAGAATAGAAGTAAAAAAGGTTCTTGGCTGCTCTGTGAAGGAAATGCAGAAAAATAAAAGCAATGATTCTTCCACCTGACCGTGGCAAATCTGGGGTGAGCATATTACCACTGCCCTGTAGTCGGCCAGGAAAGGTAGCCTTCATAACAATATGGGTTTAGAGACACAAACTTTAAAAGGGAAAATGAAAACACTACTTGGAAGAAGTAAAAGAAATGAGGTACAGACAGCCACCTTGTGAGAAGGTAGTGGGTCCCAACCCTGATAACTGAGGCCCTTGTTCCTTTTTGCTTTTATTAAGAGGCACAAAAGCCCTTTCCCTTGAACCTGTGTCAGCCATTAAGATCTCAACACAGTTACTGCTGCCTACCTGTGAATTCCTACATAAGCTTCTTTAGGTTTTTTTTTTTTTTTTTTTCCTTTTTTTACTGTTCCTTTCATAGATCCACAATTTAATGTTTGGTTAAAAGTAACTTAAGATACAAAGTTAACAATTAAGAAATGGGCTAATGCAATAATATAGTGACCCTAGAGTGGAAAATATTTATATATGTATACATATATGAAGCAAAAAATGTTACTGCTTACAGTTAAAAGTCTTTTTGTATCCCACACATTTTATTACCAGAAAGTAATAAAATGGATCAAGTGTGGGCCTCGGTTTCAGCCATCATTTTAAAATTCTTGCTTGGCTACGGTTATCTTCATAATTTAGGTATTATTATGACATGATATGGTATGAAGCTTGTCTGAGGGAGTTGAGCTGTTTACTTTACTTTCATGTTTACCCTTTTTCAGAAATTTGTTATCATTTATGTGTAACGTCTTCATCTGCACAACAATGAATTTCTCTTGGTGGACATATACTAATTTAGTTGTATGAAAATGAGGAGACTGAGAGACTGTAAAAATCTTAGCAATCAAGCCTGCCACCTCATTCCCACCAGAAGCCAGTATCCATTT